TGTCTGTCTGTCTGTCTGTCTGTCTGTCTATCTGTCTGTCTGCCTGTCTGTCTGTCTGTCGTTCTATCTGTCTGTCTGTCTATCAAGCTGTCTGTCTCTCTGTCTATCGTTCTGTCTGTCTGTCTGTCGTCTATCATTCTCTGTCTGTCTATCGTTCTCTGTCTGTCTGTCTGTCTGTCTGTCTGTCTATCGTTCTCTGTCTGTCTGTCTGTCTGTCTATCATTCTATTTGTCTGTCTGTCTATCTATCTATCGTTCTGTCTGTCGTTCGATTGTATCTATCTGTCTTGCTCTATGTATCATTCATTCATTCTGTAGTTTGTTCTGTCTATCATTCGTTTTACTGTTCTATCTGTCATTTGTTCTATCCATCTATTGTTTATTTTATCTATCGTTCATTCGTTTTAGCATTCGTTATATCTATCCATCCTTCGTTCATTCTATTGTTTGTTCCATCTATCGTTCATTCACTCTATTGTTTGTTCTTTCAGTTGTTCATTATATCTATCTGTCATTCATTTGTTCTATCATTTGTTCGTTATATCTATCTGTCGTTTGTTCGTGCTATCATTTGTTCTATCGGTAATCTGTTCTATCTATCTATCTATCTATCTATCTATCTATCTGTCTGTCTGTCTGTCTGTCTGTCTGTCTATCAGTCATCTGTTTTGTTCCATCTATCGTTGTCGCTCTGTCATTCTTTCTGTCATTTATGCTTTCTGTCCATCTGTTATTCTATCGTTCTATCCATCTATCTGATGGATCCCGGTTAATCTGAACTTTTTCCATTGAAATTAGTGAGTATTTGTCTAGTTTGCTGCCTCATGTCTAGACCTGATGTCTGTTTTTTTTTAACTGAATATGTTTTTGTTACTGAAACTTTCAGTACTGAATAAAATATATATTTATAATTGACATTTCAATTGCAGTTCATCACGGTGCATTCTGGGATTGTACTGATGTGACGTTGGCTCTGTGGATGTTTGTGGTGTTGTGTATGTAGGCAGCTGGCGGTTCAGATCAGAGCTGAAGGGATTTCCAGGGTTTAATATGGTTCTGCATGTGCACCAATCACACACATCCAGACAGTCTCAACAAGTTAATCAGAGTTAATAACCGTCTGAGGAAACTGCTTCCATTCTTCACTTTTAGCGCCTGTTTATGTCTTTCTCTTGGTAGCGGCATCGGCCTGGACGGATTACTGCTGCGGATCCGACTTTGTTTAGTGAACATCTGAAGGACTCTCAGGAAAACAAAGCGTTCTGTTCCAGTGGTTCTGGCTGGGTATAAATACACATGAGAGCAGGCAGAATTGAGGGCTTTTGGTTGCCTGATGAATGTTTAGTTTGTGTGTACACACATCATTTCACTGTTTACATCATATTGTGTTTCCCAACAGTGCAGCCGTCTTATTTTAGTCTTTGAGATGCTATTCTGGCTTTTATTCAGATTCATAGTTGTATAATACTTTTAGCCTACTTTTTATTTTCTATTTCCATTTTTATTTTAAAGATCTAGTCATTTCATTGTGTTCTGCCATTTGTATTTTTGTATATTATTTATTTAAATATCCTTTTAGATTACTTAATTTCTTTACTTGATCTTGATTTTATGTTTTTTCAGTTTAGATCTTCATTTTTTATATATATATATATATACACACACACATACACACTATTT